GAAGGTGCTATTCTGAGTCAGCCAGTAAGAATTTACGCATGAAATCCTGAGCTCCATTCAGACGACCAAATCTCAGTGCAGTGAGTGGTCTCCACGGATAACGTGTGTACCCAAAATCAAATAACACATACACGTAGGGGCACGCGTGGATTAGAGGTTTCCTGCAGCGGAGTGTGAAACTTCCAAGGTGTTATTCTGAGTCAGCCAGTAGGAATTGACGCATGTAATTCAGAGCTATATTCAGACGACCAAATATCAGTGCAGTGAATGGTCTCCACAAGTACCTATAGGAGGAGACTCGCCTTCTAGTCTAATATCCTACCCACGTCAACATGAAATGTGATGTGGTTCGTTGACTATGTATAGTTGACCTTAACATGTGACGTGAGTGCATCTTAGTCGAGAGAGCCTATTGTAAAACCTAAGTGCATTTTAACGGACTCTACCCTCCTACTCTCCATAAAAATAAATTTGCTTGTTTTACGCAAGCCTAAATAAACAACAGTCGTACTTTGTTGACATCAACGTGTACATTAATTACGCACGAGGTGTGAAAAATATTGCAAATGTTGTCGGAGGAACCAGAACTATGAGAAACATGCGTTAATATATCTAATTTAAATTTCTGGGGCTTTTGAAAACTAACTTAGTTAGGCATTGAGACATTTGATTAAACTAATTAAATTTGGATCACTCTCGATAAATTATCTACCGGAATCTCTTGGCCCCCTTATGTCTGGGACACGTGAAGGCGTCGAACGAAATGCTGACCGCCAAGATCTGGAATGCAAATGCTGTAACCTGAAGCAAATTGACAAGTACCGTGTGTTTTGCGGGCATTATTTGGAATCTTAAAGCTAAAATGCGTGGCAGAATGCCTGCCAGGCTTAACACAAAATTAGTGAATGTAACACTTTAAATATTGCTAGAAATTCGAAAATCACTGCAGAAATTTTTGCGAATAATTTTAAAATGGTCAAATAAATAAAAAATTGTTTTTTTGCAACTCCAGACCTTCAAAAGTGCTGAAAGTTTAAGACAAATTTCAATGCGGATATATATATCTATGAGATTCACGTTCAGATCCTTAAAGTTGAAGAACAGGACAAATAACTACACGATTTGTTAATTTAATTATTCCTCAGTTGTATGTGTGACAATTGAATAAGTATACAAAATAGAGTCCTCCCAGCTTGGTCGATATAAATCTTTTCACTAGTATTGAAATAAAGGCAAAAACCATGGCAGAGAAATTATTGGTAAAAAAGGGAGCTAATCTGCCTTTTTGTGTACGCACATGTTAGAGGCATTCATCACAACATAGGCTGAACCTTTGATTAAATAACAGAAAATAAATACCCAACCAGGCTGTTTACATTTTTTTCATTCGTCCTCGACACTTATGCAAATAAAGTCTCCAGCATTTGGGGAGTCCTTGATATCATGGAACCCTATATTTTTGGTCCTAATCGGTCGTCTGGTAATGCTAAAAGATACTATCTCATTACAAAACCATCCGTGTAGGCATTTGCACTTGTACAACACCTTCACACGACAGGCTGCAAAGTATCCGATTTCTTGTGCTCCCGAATCGTTAAAATCTTAGGATCCAAGGGTTAATTGGTGTACAGTTATGTGGTAACATCACTGAGGTGATATGCTGCGTAATGCCCTGTTTATTATGTCATCAATCTATAGATGTAAATAAGGTACAAAGCACGAATATGTTTCAAATATATTCAAAATGTAAACTATTTCGAAGATCCTGCGATGGTTTTGGTGTTAACATTTCCCTAACTATCTCATTTTTCGTTGTTGCATTTTAAGTGAGACACAGAAGGTGATATGCTTTAACTATTTTTATTATATATTGGTCCTAAGTCTTTTATCCGCTTTGCACCTCGTTTACACTTGTAAGAACTTATTAACACGCACAATAATAAAGAAAAAAAGCATATGCGGATTTAATGACGTAACGGCTCTCTGATCTATAATTTAAAAGCCTTTTTAAAATGTTCACAGCACGTAATTCTTATGCAAGAAAATCCAGCTGTATTTATAGATCACGAAGCTGGCTCACCGGACGAACCAGTGGCCCACACATTAACGTCATAACGAAAGTCAAACAGTTAAAACTGTTCCCAAAACATTAATGGAAATTATGCTAGCTTGAACCATCTAGTCCCATTAACAGAAAATGTTGTAATACCACACACTGTTTGTGTTCCAGGCCATAAATACATTTTATGATCCAAATTTAAAAGATATTCCTTACGACATTGAAGCTAACGATAATTCTCAAGTAACATAAACCTAAGCATCCTATCATTCACGCACCTATTTAATGAAGCATTATGTCATTTTTTAGGAAAGGATAAATTATATACTCGTAACAAACCGAGTTAGTGGCAAATGTTAACGTTGTAATACTCAATGGGGCTTTATATGTTAAAATAGTAAATGTAACTTTTGATGTTCATTTATTTTAACCAATTTACTTTAAATATTATATTATCGGTTTTGAGGTATTCAATGTCTCATGAGCCAAAACGCTTACATCATGTAACGGCGATGATACTGACGCTGGTGAATGGTCTACACATATTGGTGTCGGCGTCTGTTATTCGTCTGTTTTGCTCTGATGGCACTCTCCGCCGTCAAGAGTACATTAGAAAGGGCGTTGGACAAAGATCTTTCAGATCTAGTAAGAGGAATAAGGGCACATAAGGATGATGAGGTATGTGCTCTATAGTGCCTCACTCTCACTAAAATAAGGCGAAGTACATACACGACTGCATCGATGAGATAAAAAATGAACTCAAGTCAGGAAGTATTGCCGCCAAAGCCAATGCAACAAACAAATTGGCATATGTAATGAGCAATTTTAAGTCTATTTGTAGCTTCAAATGCTTGGATATGATATATCGTGGGCTGCTTTTAATATAATCGAGGTTATGAGCAGCCCTAAATTCTCATTCAAGGTGGATTTTTAAAAAAATAATTATATCCCTTTAGAGAATAGGGTATTTAGCTGCCTCACAAAGCTTTGGAGAACATACTGATGTGCTTATGCTCACTACGAACCTCATACGAAAGGTAGGCTCTCGGTTCTAGTTGTGCAAGTGGCTTAGGACTTAAACAGTGGCAAGTTGTACGATACGAGCGTTGCGCTTTCTGGTTTGTCTTGTTTTGTAACTCCAGACCTGGCAAGAGATCTCTGTGATGATGTATTAGCCTTGGTGAGTTTAAATAGTCTACTTTTTTTTCCATTTCATTTATGAGGTTCGCGTGTTATTGACTCAACAATGGCTTGTATTTTAGACGATGTCCCCAAAGCCATACATTGCTAAGAAAGCCGTACTTCTTTTGTATAAAATATTTCTTAAAAATCCTGATGCACTTCGTACTGCTTTTCCACGCCTCCGAAAAAAACTCGAAGACCCCGACCCAGGTATGGTACTGTTTCTTTTTTTTTAAATTTCCACCCTAGGTGTTCAGTCTGCAGCGGTCAACGTGATTTGTGAATTGGCACGCAAAAATCCCCAAAACTACCTTTCCCTCTCTCCCGTCTTCTTCAAGCTTATGACCAGCTCGACAAATAATTGGGTTTTAATCAAAATTATTAAATTGGTTGGTATACACCTTTTATTACTTATTCGTTCTCTAGTTCGGTGCTCTAACTCCTCTCGAACCGCGCTTGGGAAAGAAGCTTATCGAGCCGTTAACGAATCTTATCCACAAGTAGGCAATTCGTCTGTTCAGTTTTTCAACTCTTACCTGCAAATACTAGTCCTCACTTAATGCAGTACTTTGAAATAGGATACCCAGATGGTTCATATTGTCGATTTTCCACGATTTTTTTTAAGCTTGTCGTAACTCTTGAATGTTTCTCAAATCTTTTTATGCACGTTTATTGAGAAAACCGGGAATTTGCTTCCATCATGCGAAGTGTCGTCAAATGTCCCTTACATAGCACAGCATTTCCATTTGCATTCCCAGTTTCATGCTTCCAATTGATTATTCTAACCTACACACTCCGTTATTTTACACATCTAGTACCTCGGCAATGTCGCTCTTGTATGAATGCATCAACACCGTTCTTGCTGGTGAGTCAACCGTGTGCTCCTGCTTTCACCGGGTGCGGTGTGTGTGTGTGTGTTTAAATGTGATTAGCTTCTTCCGCCTGGATAGAAGGAAGCATGGCCTTTTTCCGGTACGTGCATACAGGCTGCGCTGTCAATTACTGATGTCAACTTGAAATCGGTCCAGAGTTAACTGTGCGCCGTCACACAAATGCAAAATTGTGGTGTCAAGGTAACACCAGGCCGGTTTGTGTGTGATCTATCGATCCTTGTGTGAGTGTGTAGCCTAGATGATTTCGCCTTAAGGCGTCGGAGCGTCTGCCAGTGTAGAATTCACCGTCACGCATGTAGACAAACACGTTGGCCAAAGTTAGCTTGCAAGTCCCCGTCAGTGGCATGAGCCATCGCGGCAAATCACCCGGCTTATCGCTTTGTAATCAATATGCCTACTAATGCCTTTAATGCCTTCCTCCTCTCCTTTCAACCATCCCTCGACTTACCGCGTCGGTATGCCCTGTGTGCCTGTTGTGGTGTTGTTGTGAATCCCACGCCGTCGTCTGTTGCGCATGTGTCCCCTCCCTGCATCGCTCTGAACCGCGTTTATTACTCATTCCTTTTTTCCTTTACAAATTAAAGTGCTGCTTTCTATTTCATCAGGGGTGCCTGACCACCATGCGTCGATCCAGGTGAGCAAAGCATACTTCTTTTTTACTACGAGTTACCACGACGACCCCTCGCACAACAGGAGTGCTGTGATTGGTTCATTTGCCAGGGCGCAATGGCTGCTACATTGAATGGGTCTGGGGTGGGTGTGTGTGTGTTGTATCTTCGCTGTAGTCTGCGCTACACTTAGCTGTTCCCGCTTTACGATGCAACAGATGTAGTCCCTTCATTTGGCTGTTCCTAACCTCTGGGAATCTATAAATGTAGGGGTAAACGAAGTGTGCGTTCATTGGTGTGCTAGGCCTTTTTCGCTGCAGACAATGTCGTCAACAGATGAATCCATGTGTGCTTTGGGTTGCTCAACTTGGTTCCAAAGGCTCGGAGGCACTGTGGTGTTTATCGTGTCCGGCGTTGAGGCATTTGCTGATTCTTGTGCTAGTTGAGGTTTCTATTTTTAATTTGTGTGAACGGGTTTCGTGTGATGCGAGTTAATCTAAACAAACCACACTGTCCCTCCCACCAGACACCATTGTCACTTAGCCGAACTGGGAAAGACCAGGTGTTACATTGCTCGCTTAAAGCTCTACTTGACACCCTTGGTAATTATGCAACTTAAGTAGATTCGAAATCGCACGTGTGCAACAGCTAAAAACTGATTTTGCAGTCACCAAAAATGGTACAAATGTAAATGACGACTGAAGGTAGTAAAAGGAGTAAACGGTCAAGTACCTTGTTGCTTCCTTCGGCGATTAGAAAAAAAAGATAGCATTGCAACTGCCACAAGCGTGCACACTTTGTCGAGGTATGTTTTTTTTCTGTCGTGAAGAGAGTGCGCTGTGTTGTGCAGTGCATTTTTTTCCCACCTAACAATTAACCGTGTTCGCCGGTAGAATTCACGTGGGTGTACCTTAGAGCTCGATAATTACCGGATTCCATTGTGTTTCCTGAAAGCCGCCACGCTGTCTGTTGGCAGACTGCCTTGCATTCGAAGATCTGATTTCTGTTTTATCAGTAAAAGCACTACTTTCTATCTGGTAGGAAGTAGTCAATTAGTTAGATAAGTCGACAAACCTGAAGTCTTCTACCTGGCTATCGCAGGCCCTCATGACCGTGAGATGCGTTCAAGAAGCGTGACGTCCCACTGTGCTCAATTTTCTTCTTGTTACAGCTCTGCGTGCAGAAGTTGCGCATACTCATTGAGGACTCCGACCAAAACCGTAAGTTTGCCCGCCTTCTTGCCATGCTCAGAACATCTACGCCTGCTGCTACCCGTTGCCACGTGAAATTAGCCTGGCAAGCTAGATTAAAAATCGCATCTTCTCTGCTTCCGGTCGACGATTATCTTACCTAATCGGCCTCCTCCTCCTCTTTCATAAAACCAGCCAATCCAAGGCTTCAAAGAATCGACCGCAGATGTTTATTGCTCAGGGCGGGGGGGGATGTGTGTCATCATTGCTTTAGGGCGGTGTCATTGCGTGTCTAGAGCTAGATGTACCGAATTATGATGATATTCGTCATCTCACGGTGTTGTGGTACGTTGTCGGATCCGTTGTCCAACCAACTTCGCAATTTCTGGCTCACCTCATTCCAGCGTGTTCCTTGTCCAATGCCAGCAAAGTATTGGTCTGGATTCCTTAATACATGACTACTGCAACTAACAGCCACTGTCGGTGCGCTTAGGACCCATCCCAATGACGACATTTTTATCCAATCCCGGGTCAGCGTTCTTTGTTTGAGGTCATGGTAAGGTCATCTGGACTCCATTCCACGTTATCCATCCCTCCTCCTTTGGATTTCAGTGCGCTCTACACACGTAACCCATAAGTTTATAGCTAGTGCTACACGCAGACATCAAAACACGCAAGATATTTGGTTGTAATTTTTGCTATTATTATGCAAAGCAGGCCAGGATTCATGCGTAGCAGTTCTTTTCCTGCTAGTAATTTTATCTAAAAACGCAATGTCACGTCAATTGTCTCGACAGAGCAGATGTTCACACCGGTGGTAGAGGTAGTGGTGGGTAGCTTTTCTTCCACGTGGGTGATTGGGTGTAGGAATTTGTGGAGTTAAATGTTAAACGGTTGTTAAAACAGAGGTAGAGAATGTCCGAAACGGCGTGAAGCGTGTGCCTTCCCTGGTGGATGTCTTGAAGTTGTCGATGAGACGATCATAGTCGGACTTGGATGCTGATCTGAACTCGATGTATGCCGATTACAGGGACAATATTTTTAGCGCAATTAGTTTTGAATGACACGGTTTCACCCAGGCACATGTCTAGCTCGATGTGTTTTCGAGGTGGTCCAAGTTTACACAAAACAAACTTACCTAAGTGTAGTAGGATCAATTTTGTGACGGAAATGCACCACACACGAACACGGTCACGTTTGCGGCGCCCTCTACAGCTGACCTTTCAATGTTGTGAGTTCATTTGTGTGACTGGGATGCCTGACCTTGTAATTTAGTCAAGTACCTCGGGCTTTTGGCGATGAACAAGATCCTGCGGCACCACCCGAAGAGCGTGCAGGCCCACAAAGACCTCATTTTGGCCTGTTTGGAGGACAAGGACGAGTCCATTCGACTGCGCGCCCTCGACCTCCTCCATGGCATGGTCACCAAGACGAACCTCATCGAGATAGTCAAGAGCCTGGTTCGACATCTCAACTCGCCCGACATTGGCAACTACTTCCGCTCCGAGTTGATTTCCACAATAGTGAGGATCTGCTCACAGGAGAACTACCACTACGTAGTGTCGTTCGAGTGGTGAGTGCAGTATTATTTGTTTTGTTCTGAGGTATTAATCGTTTCCCCATGCGCCGATTTCTGAAGCCTTCACGAGGCGAAATAGGTCAATTAGCAAGACTTGCCACTAAAAGTATGAACTTCCAGTTTAGACTATGTGGGGTAATTGGTTAATAATGTTTGTTTGCCTTCGAAGGTATGTCTCCGTGTTGATAGAGCTGGCACAGTTGAATACAAATCGGACTGGCGAGCTTCTGGCCAATCAGCTTCTTGATGTGGCAGTTCGCGTGGCCTCCGTGCGCCAGTTCGCGGTTGGTCAAATGGTAAGTTTATTTTGCTCCATCATTTAAACCACCTCTCCGAAATAAAGGCAATAACTCAAATGGAAAAGTAATATTTATTAAATCCTATCCTTATTGAAGTTGTTTCGTGCGATATCAAACTTTCCTGCGAGCTGCAACTGCAAGGTCAACTTCCACCAATCAGATTTACCACGGTCGTTTAGACTAGCCAATCGGGAAGAAGTGCCACACTTTAATTCCGTTCATGGATTGCTGCAGTCACCAGGTGTTGTTTCACGTCAATCTAGGTCGCTAACTAACTATAGGAATGCAAACCATGGGAAACTTTTTTCTTTTTTAATCAAACCTGATTGATTCTCCAGATGTTTGTTTTCATTCTCTTACCTTCAGGCCATATTCCTGAGATCTTGCAAAAGCATGATGACTCACTCGAACCAAGCCAGCCTTCACGATGTCATATATGCTGCAGCCTGGATTTGCGGAGAATACGCTGGGTATTGAATTCCCCCGTTTTTTAAGCTCTTTTTTCGAAAATACCAGCACTAAATAAATAGTGGGCTATTTTAGGGCAATAGGTTGAATATGGTTTATAAGTTGTCGTTTGAGCAATTAGCACAAACTGCAGCTACAAGGTTAACTTCCACCAATCAGATTTATCGCGGCCGTCTGGACTAACCAATCAGGAAGAGTTGCCGCAGCTCTATTCCGTTCATGCATTGTAATACAAATATGAAGCGTTCGAACCGCTGTCATCACTTAATTGTTTCATCATTGCTCCACAACTAGACTAGCGGAACGGGGTCTGAGTCATGCACACGACCGTAGGTTTTAGTTGCTGGATGTTTCTGCAAAAGTCTACCAGTTAAACCCTCACCATCGGCCACATTTGCAGGTTCCTTGAGGAGCCCCGGGAGACGCTGGAGGCGATGCTGGAGACGGCGAGCTTCATCGACCTGCCTGGTCACATCCAGTCCGTGCTGGTGCTCAACTGCCTCAAGCTCTACTGCAAGTTGGTGGCCGCGTGGTTCGCCCAGACCACAGGCGGCTGCGACGTGTTAAGCGACCCCCCGCCGCCGCCGCCCGAATCTATCGACGCCTCGGCCGACCTCCGCGCCCTCGTCGACCGTCTGCTCGAGTTGACGGCCTTCCTGATGGACAAGATCTCCCTCTTCGTTCATTCTGCCAACTTGGAAGCACAGGAACGCGTACGTGGTGTCTTGTTGTTCGTTTCCTGCAACTCGGCGTATCGTCACTCGATGATTCTGAGTGTGTGTGTGTGTGTGTTTGGAACACAGTTTTATGTAACGAGCAGTATGCTTAAGACAACTGACTCTCTTGAGAATGCCATCGCCTCTAATCACTAGACTTAGTCCACCATGACTGTCTGAAGACAGATGCGTCTATGGGCCTGCTTTGGAGCTACTTCTGAACGTCGTTTGGTAAGCACTAATATTCCGATTAATCTAAGGATCTGCGCGCGGATTCCGAATAAGGCTGTCGTCCGTAAATGTGACTAATGCACATTTGCCTGTCGAAAGTTTTCTACGATTTGGTTCGTGTATTTCCATTCCTGCTTCCAACCGTTCTCGATGGACAAGCGATTGTCCAGTTTATGCTCATTGATTTGGGTTGCTTCCACGCTGGAAAGGTACTGGCGTCTTCGCGGGGCACTAATTTGTATGTTTGAATCATCATTTGTTATTCGTAGTTTCGCAACGACGCTGCTAATGCCTGCCTCTGTGTAAGGTGGTAAACTTTCGGAAACAGCCCACTCATTTTCACACACTCTCACTTGTGCGTAATTGTGTGCGAGGTTAGCACAAGTACACAGCTGCAGTCTCATTGGTCGTCCCCTATGCTCTCCCTCCTAGGCCGTGTCAATCCACCAATTGTTGCATCTCGTCGTGAAGCGGCTAACGAAGCTGCGTGCCACAGCAAGCACATCTCCGCTACCACAACCGCCTCCGCCGCCGCCCACATCAACATGTGGTGGTGGTGGTGGTGGTGGTGGCGATGAAGACGTTGTTGATCTCCTTGGAATCGACGCCGACGACAGTCTGGACCCTCTCTCCGCAGTCAGGAAAACTGCCAGCGCTGCCGACGACGCTCCGACGCCTGCCACCGGTAATCACTGCCTCCCTTTTCCCCCCACCTCCCTCCACCATCCTTTCAATCCACCCCCACAGCCCCGATGGTTTCCACTGCGTGTTCATGCAGGTACTTCGCATCTTGCGTCAGTCGTTCGATCCTTTAGCTCTGGAGCAACATCTGACGCGTCGTCGAGGATAACAGACAGGGCTATCAGCCGTCATCTCTGACACAAATAAGCTGATTCCAAGTGTCGCCGACGATGACAGCTCGACGCTGCCCACTCCTCAAAGACACCAACACGCGGAAGGAAGCGTTATTTCGTCTTCCAAATATCGGAGGACTTTTTGAGCACGCACATGACCACCATGGAAAACTGTTTAGAACGGTGACGCCTCAAGAACCACCGGTCCATTCCTCACCCCTCTGCCACTTCTTTGTTTGACCTATCTAATTGTCTCCCGACGTGGGTGTTTGTTCTCTACGGGGGCAAGTCGAGCCTTGCGTGGATTTGCCTTCTAGACTCGACGCAGCCTCCTCCATCGTCGGATCTGTTGAACGGTGTGCACGGTGTGTTGGTGGAGCTGGGCGGTCTCTTCGCGGGCGAGGTGCACCCGGTTGCCGCGAAGGCCCAGCGCAAAGTCCCCCTTCCCGAGGGACTGGATCTGGACGCGTGGATCAACGAGCCACCTCCACCGCCGAAGCTCACACTCGCATCCCCCTCGTCTCTCCTGCCGACCGACGCGCCATTGGACCGTCACAAGAAGCGAAGCAAGAAGGTGTGTGTGTGTGTGTGCGTTGTCACCTCTCGTTACACTTTTGTGTTTTCCTTGCAGGGAGTGATTGGCGAATCAGCGACTGGCGGCATCTTTTCTGGCCTCGTCGAGCCTGAGGGTCCGAAGCCTGTTAAGCTCACTCAAGCTGAATTGGATGAGGTAGGCTCCAAATAAAATCGACTACTGTCACATTTAAGTAGATTGTACTTTTAAAATAAATTTGCACACAGATGCGGAAACAGCGCCTGCTGCTGCAGGAATCCAACCCTCACTACCTCAAGAGCACTAAGAAGCGTTCACAAGGCTCGGTATCCGAGGAGCCAGAGGCACCTCCTGTGGTTGAGGCTCCCTCTACAGACGTCCCCAAAAGTAAGCTAGCCTTGATCGCACTACTTACTGTCCTAACAAGTAGTATGTCTTTGCAAAGCCCAACACATTTCCGCGTCTCTGGTTTTTTTCTTTTTTCGACCCACGTGCAGCACCAAAACTGGCAAGTTCGGATAAGTTCGCGATGGAAATGCAGAAACAGTTGAAAGAAATCGGTCGGCAGAAGGCGAAGACCCCCACCGGGTGAGGCAGTGGTCACGCTTTGATTCCCTGACTCCCCTCTTTTGACTTCTGCATAAAGCTGCATTTTTTTGCTCCATGGTTACAGCACCCGAGGCAAGGCACGGAAGGGCCAACGTCCCAGGAAGGAACGCGTCCCAGTGCCGGAGGAGAGTGAGGAGGCCGTCGACTTTCCAACTAGCGTTCCAGTGAGCACAGTCGTGGATCTGCCGGAGGTACGGTTCGATCCACGTTCCTCGCATAAACCAGTCGGAATTCGTGCATTGCGCTTTAGCACTCAGCATTCAAATTACCGCCACAGTTGCAACCAGCCAATGAGATTGCGGGGGGTGGGTCAGATCGATTCCAGCACTAATTTAGTTTTCACAAGGGTTTAGTTTTGGACAAATGCCGACTTTGTTAAGTCGAAAGAGGTCTGCATTGACGGTTTCGTGGCGCGCAAGAAGTTCGAGGCGGTTGATGCCTCCACAGTCCCGCCGATTATGAACCGCAATAACTATTCCCCTGGCCGAATATAAACGCCAATGATGAAGCTATGGCGCTGTGATGCATCTACGGAAGGCGTTGGTGACCAGATGTCCTGAGTAATGCGTGCTCAAGATAGTTCCTTATTCCTGCTCGTTCGATTTCGTTGAGCAAGATAAGAGTAACCGACGACGATTAGCAGAGAATCCTAGTTGCTTCAGGTTGGAGTATGAATATTGACAATGTCGATTTGAAGGTCTGGTCACTTGAAAATGTGGCCCAAAAGTCGACCCGATGAGGATGTGTGTTGCACGCTGCCTCGTGCAATGCTCTCTCTCGCCTCTTCGTCTTTCATTTAAGTCTCCAGTGTTGGCGTCCTTTAGCCGCCTAATCGTCTTCCATGTCGCCTTCAGGGTGTGACGCCGAACGACGTGGACTCCCCCGACGAAGAGAGCGAACTTGACCCAAACGATCCCCACCGTCTGTTGAACATCCAGCTGGACATTCCGTCGATGGAGGAGGCCACGTTGGACACGCCTTCGCGTCCCTCCACCGACACCAAGAAGACGCTCCAAACCAGGAACAAGAAGAAGAAGGCGAGCAAGGTGGGTTTCTTGTTACATTGTCAGCACCGCCTTTATCACTTCCGCGCTCCCAAGTTGACGTCTGAGTTCTGGTGTCGTGGGGGTTGGAGTTATCTAGCGTAAGCACACTATATTTGCCTCCTAGGTCAATGGAACGTCTGGAGTTGGAGGCGCACAAGCAAGAAAGGAGCCGTCGAGGCGGCACGTCCAGGTACGTCCGTGCTGACTGTATTCGCCGATGTGTTCGTCGCTTGGACACCGGTTTTATAGGCCACACATGGAACAATTATCGGTGCCCGTTCTACTTACACGGAAATAAGTACTATATCGACATTGCCAAATGCTGATAGCGGAGTGCTAACCACCTACTGGAAGAATGTTTTGAGATCTGAATTCCTCTTTAGAGCAACGACCAACGTGGCGAAATAAAGCAGCCAAGGTCCGACCAGCCGCCCGTAATATCTGAGGAGGCCTTTGTGGACTTGTTGTCGAACTTCAAGGCTGTCACCGCTGCTCGCGCCAAAGTCCGTTGTCCGGCGACTGCTGAAGCCTTGTCAGCCGGCAACTCGCACCTCCTCGAGCCCACCTTCGTCTCCCTCCTCGGCGCACTCTCCAAGGCTGCCAGCTTGTCAGGTCAGACTCGCCTTCAAACGCTGTAGCATTATAACGTGTGCTAAACTTGAATTGCCTTCCCCAAATCGATGCCTTTCATTCATTCCTTCCGTAGTTGTTGAACGGGTTGGCACCAGTGCTTCTGTCTACGCCGAAGTCGCCACGACACCTGTCTGCGTCCTCATCAAACTATCCGTAAGTTGTTCGATGTGAAGCACATCGCTGCCGAAAGCGTCTATTTGAAAACACTAGTACCACACTGCGGTGTAAGTGTGGTACAGCTCTCAAGCGCGTCACAGCTTGTGACCCTATTTGACACTGTTTTGTTGCATAAAAGCGAAGCTAGTGCCAATATCTAGAGTACTTCCTGTGTGGCGCAACACGCGTTCTGAGCGCAGGGAAATAGCACTTCCACCCTTTCATTTCTAGACAAGCACAGGATCGGTGTCGATCGAGGCCAAGTCGGAGGACGAGACCGCCTCGACAGACCTGGTGCAACGAGTTAAGACGCTCGTCAAAGGCTTTAGGCCCGCCGAATAGGCCTGGCATCCCCGTGACGTACTGTGAACCCTCGTGTCTTGTCTCTCAGTCCTTCCCTCTTTCTCTCTGTGATACATTCCACTGTTGGCTGCGTTATTCTTCTACGGGACCTCTTTGCCCACGTCGTCGTGACTGTTTTGCTAACTGATATTGATTTCGGTAATAACAATAATAATCCTATTGTTGTTGGCGTTCTTGTCTTTGTTGTCTCTAGAGACTGGGCAAAACGATCGGTCCACCACCCAATTTTAACTACCAACACGGCCCATGCAAATGTTCAACACTCCTGCCAACCGTACATATTTAAACAAGTAAACACCCCAACGGATGCAGGCACGTTTACCTGACTAATTAGGAAATCTACAAACGGCGGGATTAGATTCGACTCTAACACCCATCACAAGCGATAATGTAGCTGGGCGTTGGTGGAACGAATCGCAAACCAGCTCATCTAAAGTTTCAGTTCGGCCAGCGACACGGAATCTGACGAAGAGGCTAATGGAACCAACAATAACTCCAGCCCCTGCCCCCCTAGACTAGTAGCTGCGGTCGTAGCGTAACAAAAACAGAACTAGAGCAACAGAATCGAAAACAGGACACAATTTTCTTCCTTGCCAGATTTAAAACTACGAAGGGAAATGCCAAAAACTGGTGAAAAGTCGTAGAAGCTAGTGGCCACCGCCATTCTCGGTACCCAATGCCACCAATCTTCGAAAGTCAGCGCAAGAAAGGAGACGTGATAAAAACAATTCTTTTTTTTTTCATAGTTATACAAACAGATTGGCTTGCATGAATATAAAAGAAATGCACAATTCTTACGCAGGCGCCTCCCCGATAAAATTCATCTTTCCCTCTTCCTTCACCAGTAATAATTTTCAGATTCTCTCATAGCCTCGTAGTTGTCGTAGCCGTCATCGGATACTAATGAGGGGTTTATTTGGGACTCAATTTGGGAACCTACCATCTCCCTTTCGCCTGTCTTGACCACTGGGAGGCGGCGCCTGCTGCGGCGCACCGTAGCCACTGTCTCTTCGACCGTCACTACCTCCGTAGCGGTCGTCAGAAGGCGGGACGTAGCTGTAATCACCGCTGCTGCCACCGTAGTAACCACCTTCACCGGGTGAATCGTAATAACCCCGCTGGGCCGGTGGCCCTCGGCCGCCGCCATTGTACCGACCAACGGAACCCTGCGATCCGCTTGCACCCCCGCCAGGAGTTGGAGGGGCACCGCCACCGCCGCCGTAGAACGGTGGACCGTAGTTCCAGGAGCCACCACCACCGCCATAACCAGGCGACGGAGGCATGCCACGAGGTACCGATTCAAGGAATAGTTCAATGTACCTCGTGCCGATTCTCTCTCTGTCCTTCTTCATTGCTTCTTTGGCTTCATCGTGCGTGGCAAACTCTGCATCTGCTTCGCCAGTTGGTCGTCCTTGAGCGTTGTAGTGGATGTTTATGTTAATGGGTTGGACGGGAGTGAAAAAGGCGGCGATCTCATCGGTCGTCACTTGGAAAGGTAAACCCCGCATGTGGACCAGGTGAACACCTCCACCTCCACGTGGGCTACCATAGGGGCAACCGCTATACTGATTGTCCACCGGAGGAGGGCCATAACCACCACGTGGACTGGGAGGTCGCTGGTCGTAGTAGTAGGGTCTGGAGTAGGGACCCGGTCGTGTACCGCCCCGGGGACCACCATAACCGTAACCGTCTACACTGCCCCCGCCATAGCCTCCGCGAAAAGGCGGACCCGGAGGACCAGGCGGGGGTGGACTACCGTAATATCCACGGTCACGTCCATGTCGCATCATTGGACCAACACCACTACGTTCTTCTAGAAGAAAAGAGATTAAGGAAAAAGGGAAACAAACGGTTTATTTCGTGTTGTTTTCGAATAGCCATACTCGCTTCCATTCCAGTGGCATCGAATATTTCAATGTACCTAAACAAGAAAACAGTAGGTACAGTGATCTCCAGTATAAAAGTAACGTGCTGGGCAGCAATTTACAATAGCCTTGCCTTCGGGTGCGTGTAATGTGGAAATAGCATGTGTGCAACGATGAGTTTATTGACACCATCGAGGAAGGAAGCCGTCCACGGCGACACCGCATGGAAGGCATTACAGCCCCAAACCAAAGCCGATCACGTAATAACCACGCCGTACTAATGGTAAATGAATTAGACCAATACATCCCAGGAGACCAACATGACAAGTCCCACGGTGGTGCAATTGTCCACGAAGCAAACTACGGCAGATAAATAAACTTACCTCGATGGTGTCAGTGAGGTAACAATAGGTGAAGAAAAGATAAAATGCAACCCCCCAACAATTGTGGGATCACACACACACAGACAAAAGATCACCTTCGCCCTATCTTCTCCAAGTGCTTCTCCTTTGCCCGTGCTAGCATTTCCGCCGAGGTGAATTGGACATAGGCATCCCCCGTGCAACGGCCCAAGTGGTCCACCAAAAGCCCGATCCCGTCAGGAGCTATTGTCAGATCTGCACGCCGAAGCCGCCGCCCCAAACACAAAATTGGCCGCCCCATTAAAGAAGAAGACAAAAACCAATATGTCATTCACGAGAACACACCTGCTTAAGCATGCAACCAAGAACCAACTGGTGGGACAGCCCATCCTCTAGAACCGAGGCCACAGACAAGATTACAAACATACAGATATGTTGAGAAAGCAACCACCACGATCGGAATGACTTCGACCCACAATACGGACTGCGGCGTCACAAAACCCACGAAAATTATGGATCCCGTGCCGCACGAACGGGAAATGATGGAGGACAACTAAGTACACTGAGCTAAAATACTGCGCTGTGAAACGAGACGTGCATTGACTCGATGTAAATTAAACTCCTGCCAGATTTAAAAAAAGAGGAAATTTAAAGACCCAGCTATAGGGACAACGGAATTTCGATGCTGTCGATTAATTGATTCGGGAGGTATTCTAATTACCAGTGAACAGAATTTTTAGTGTAGTAACTACACCACTCACCGCTAAAAAAGCTAAATATGTCTCGCTTTTCGGTATCATAAGGGAGACCCCGCAGGCGGGCAAAGAACTCTTTTCGGTTGCGGTCTGGTTGCCAGCCCATGGCTCGCTTCATCTCCGTTTCGTCAGAGCGAAAAACTACACGAGAGATTTACACACCTAAAACAAGTAAGTACCTTCAATATAACGCCTCCCCATGTGTTCTTTATGGTGAGCCATTGCAGCTTCTATGTCACTCTCATTTTCCAATTCCACAAAGGCCTCGCCGTTTGAACGGCCGTTAGGACCTTGTGGGAAAGATATTCCACGTTTCCCACCCTTAATTGTGACATCTTCTAATACACCTAACGCGGAATCAAATACCTTTAAAGAAATCGATAACATCGTCCGCCGTGGCTGAGTAAGGCAATCCACGGATGCGCAAAATCGCGGCGGCCATCGCGAACGCAATAACGAGAGTGGCGCCAATTCAAACAAACATTATTTGTTTCACTGTTGTTTTAATAACTGCAATAAGTTCCTATCAACATAGCCCTTTTAACTGACAGCTGAAAACTGCTCTTTTTTTTAATAATTACCTCTGAATTACAAAAAAATCAAAGACAATATTCTGAAGTCACTTTTGAAATAGGGTCTTCATATACTTCCAATTCGTATTATTTATAGTTCAATAGACTGCAATTTATTTCTCTTCTGCATCGCTAAAGCAAATTGATTTAATTACACAATCAATTCAAAATATTTTTAATAATTGGTGAATTTTTTCAAGTTAATTATGACGGCATTTATGGTATACACTGGCAAACCGTACTACTTTCGTTCAGTTAATTTCCGCCAAAAATTTATTCTAACATATCACGTGAGGACAATGATTATGTTACAACAATTAGTTGGTCCAAATACTCCGTTTTGTGGGGATTCATGAAAGTGTGAAATATGGATGCATTTCAGCAATTGACATCAGACGACGAAAGTCTCTATTCTTTTAGTAGTTTTGCTCCTGTAATAGCATAATGACTAACACTGAGTGACAATAAATGGTAAATTTAAGTGTTCTATGTTGACCAGAAATGCCTTCAAATATTTGTTGGCACTTCAGAAACAAGTATATTTGCAACAACGCTTACCGCGTCAGATAAAAATACATTGAGAAAATTCATATATGAATAGCACGCACTGAATATATTTACACAAATAAGAAAATGTCGCGTTATTTAAAAAAATAACTTTTTAGCAATATGGATTAAATTAGGTGAGCTGCACATGCTTTGTACTGTTATAGTTAAATATGTCATGATAACATGAAATTTTTTAATATTTGGAGATTGCGAGTCGCAGTAAATCATATTGTGTCAATTCATGGCAGCGAATTGAGAAATTACTGGTTCACTCTTCTAACAGCAAAAGCAATATTCACCTATACACCGACAAGTCACCTAAATGCATTTGCAAAAAATATCTGCAGAGGGTAACATGCTCAACTAAGCGATTTCGAACAAGCAGAAACCCATTTGCAGGTACAGCTTTTAGTTGAGAAATAAGATGATTTTATATGTGAATAAAACCACCTGTAGAACATTGTACTAGCGCAAATTATTCTCCATATCGGGATACTTTATTCCGATGACTATTGTTTTACTATGGGGTCATAGTTATTTTTACCCCGTGCTCTTATGTATCCTGCATTAATGTATATAAAACAGTTTTTTAATACTAGCCGGTTTGAGATCCCGTCCATCAGCTGAAGTAATTTGCCTATATTGTTAAATCAAATTTCAGAGGCGCCTTAAAACGTCGCTACCCTAGGTACCCAATAGTACGAATGACCTTTTAATTGCGCTGTTTCGCTGTCGTTGACCTTGTCAGCTGTGGCCACGTCTTATATTCAACGATGGATCAGAATATCACGTTGCTGAACGTCGCTGCTTCTAACAATGCAACTAGGTATTTCACAACGGAATCTGGCATAGCATCCGCGGCCTTATTCTTTATGGCCATTCTCCCTATATATGTTGGGGCTCATAGGTCTGTTGATGCCCTTCAAAAGTCATTAAAGGTAGAGGTAGCTAGGTTTAATATATTTCTCACAACTTTAGGACAAAGATTTGTCAATTATTTCATCTCATGAAGCCGCGATGTTTCCGGTATATGCCAGTGGTGCTCTTTTTGGAATCTTTATACTGTTTAAGGTAACTCATTTATTTGTGTTTGCTTAGTTGTTTCAGTTGTTTGCTGCTGAGTACGTAAATATTGTTATATCGTGCTACTTCTTCGGAATTGGCACGTCGACTGTGTTTTTTCTGATCAGGTAAGTGGTTTGGTTATACTTATTTTTAATCCAGACCTTATGTTGTAAATCTTGTCCCTTCAATCTTTCCTAACACTCACTTTAAGTTGACACTCACCGAGTCAAAAGATGATGCTCCCCAACCCCAACAAGGTAGAGTTTGCTCTTCTGGTTTTTTTAAATTTAATAGAATGCGTGTCTGTAGATTTCGAAAGGAAAGATATCTTCCCTTTAATAATAGCCCTGATAATTGGATGCGCATACATTTTCACAAAGGTATGTGGAGTTCTGTTTACGTTGCCTTATTTTTTATAGCATTGGGTTGCAAATAACCTGATCGGCTTGGCGATTGCTGTCGTCGCAGTTGAGTATCTCCACTTGGATAAAGTTTCTAACGGCTGTATTCTCCTTGGTGGTCTTTTTATTTACGACATTTTCTGGGTCTTTGGGACAGGTGTAATGGTTTTTGTCGCCACAAATTTCGATGGTCCCATTAAAGGCAAGACTGCTTTCTACCCCAATAATCGATATTCACTCGCGTACTTCTGTTATCTGACATGCGCAATAATTTTCTTCCAGTTGTCTTTCCTCGCGATCTACTCACCAACGGCTTTTTCTCAAAGGATGTAGCAATGCTAGGCCTTGGTGATATTGTTGTTCCCGGTATCTTCTTGGCTCTGCTTCTTCGATTCGATGACAGGTAAGCAGTGGACTCGGAAATTATCTTCACACGCTAGAATGTGAAAGCTGTACATTTTCTGTTTTCTTGTAGATTAAACCGCCAGGGGAGTCGTACTTACTTCTGGACTGGCTTTATTGCCTACATTATTGGCCTATTAACAACTTTCGTTGTTATGTACAGCTTTCATCATGCACAGGTAAACACCGCCGCCGGCACGCGTAACTTTTAAGGTCTACTGGTCATCAAAACTCATAAGTAATTGATCCCAATCCATGTTGAGTAGTATAAGACTACTATACGTTTGAGTTACGTTTATGGGAGGTTTTTTGGTTGATACGAGTAAGTGCAACCTATCATTGCTACAATTTGGGTGTTCTTGGCTTCGTGTCACTTCTGCTCGTGTGTGGGTGTGTCTGCATTGTACCCGAATTTCGGGAATTATGCACAAGTCAAATCTCCCATAAGCCCTTTTTGTCTCTCTTAAGCCTGCCCTCCTCTACCTCGTTCCGTTGTGTTTGGGTCTTCCTCTAACCGTGGCTTTAATCAAAGGCGACTTCAAGGAACTCATGGCGTAAGTTCCTCGTCTTCGTGACTCATCCGTGTTGTTGTCGTCAAGTCAGTGGTGACCTTACCACAACCTTTGTAATTCACCAGTGTCTGTGCGTGTTTGTACATCACGTCACACCGTCTGCACACTTTTTATAATTGTCTCACGTAAAAATACCTAATTGGGCATGCTACTTTCTCACGTGGAACTGTTGGTGAAGGGTTGTATAGCAAACGCGTGTTAAACTGCACCAGAATATTTGATTTATCACTCGACCTGTCCCCACTTTTTAGTTATAAAGACATTCCGCAGGAGGTTGAAAACAGACTGAAAGCTGAACGAGAAGCCAGGGAATCGTCCGAGGCGGAGAAAAAGGCGAACTAGGCAGAACCTCCCTCCATCTTCCACTTCTGCAACCTTCCCAATTTTTTCTCGTTGTATTTGCCCTCTGATTTTCTCTTGACCGTTTGATTGTTTAGGTAACCCGATGTACACCCCCACCACGTGCGTGAGAGTATTTTGTGTCAATCCTATTCTCGATTTTTTCCTACTGGGCAGTTTCAATTTCATGGGGATAAGAGAGCTAGTTCCATCTCAAAAACTCTCAGAACCTAGTCAGGTCAGTCGTTTAGGGTTCCGAGAGGGTTCTTACTTTTTGCCCCAACTAAGCGTGTGTCGGGTTATCGTATCGTGATAAAAATGACACTTGCAGCCACATAACCAAACAACTAGGTGGGGTTTCTTCGTTCCTGATTGTGCGTATGCAGTCCAACTTGAGGTTCATGCTAGATTTAAACAGGTTGGGGCCTGAGCAAAATGATAAGAAGCCTTCGTGGCTAGGTACCGACTGTGCGGAAGCAGGAGCAATTAATGCTCAGATGGAGTTTGTTCATTCGTGCCATCTCCCCTTTCTCTACGCGAAGGTTTGTCTCTCAGCCTTCTCCTTCGCACCTTATCGTTTCTCAACGCCCCAATCGCCTCTCCCGGCCTCTGAAGGGGCAAATCCGAGACGGTGACTGTTCTCGCCTTCTCTGAATCGCGTCGCATTCGTTCCTTGTGACGAGCGTGTCTTCTAGTCTCCTTCGCAATCACCCGATCCCAGTTAACATGCGGGTACTCCCGCCTAAGTCGGGCGATCTCCGACACCGCCGTCTCCCTGCGTAGTTCCTTCTCTACCAGGTAGTCCCAATCGATAAACGGGAAGTTGGGTGCCAAGGTAGTTAACTCACCTAGGCCCGCATTGTACGGCACGAAGCTGCTCCAATGCACACCCGGATAAACCGAATGGAGGTGCGAAACGAATGCAGGGGTGGTAGAGAGGGTTGAATCGTCGCACTTGAGTGCACACCCCACCACCTGCTCATCGCTGGGACCTAAATTGGACACTTCCGAGGCTATTATTCTGCTAAAAGCCTCATCACTTTCTAAGTACCTCCAGTTGATGTAAGGGAATGAGTGTTTGATTCTTGTCATCCCATCTTCACTCAGACCACCATGAAGAATGCTCCCCCAATCAATAAAAGGGTAATTCCCCTGCAGGTGCGAAATCGGGTCTGATGGTGGGCCCGTGGTCTCCTCCTGGCTTCCAGAACCTGCCTCCACACAGTCCATCGCCTTCACTGTGCTCCCATGGAAGACGGCGGCCCAGTTTATGTGCGGGTGCAGAATCTGCATCCTTTGAACGTTGGTTTCTTCAAGGCCATCCTGGAGCAGAGCAGGCCAATTGACAGGCGGATAGGAAGTCCTGAGACGTACGATTAGTGAGGTACTCGACACCCTTTTGGGACAAGCCCCTTCTTCAAGGTCAGTGGGTGTGGCGTCGTCGTCGATTCGGAGCACCGATTGGACCACACGGTCACTTAGGACGTGGTCCCAATTTATGCAGGAGTAGGCACTTCTCAACCGCTTCAGCTCTTTTTCGCACCACTTCTGTTCAACAATACTGCTCCAGTCAATGCAGGGGAAGAGTAACTCAAGACATGGCAGGAGTTCCAAGGAGTTCCCGGAAGCACTTTGTCCAGCAATGCTGGTGGATGCGACAGCGGCAGGTGTCGACAGCGTTTCTGTGATGGCCTCCCAATCAAGGAATGCGTATTCTTCTCTCAGACGTTGGATTTCACCATCGCATAAGTCCGCCGTCACAATGTCTTCCCAGGCAATGTTTGAATTAAGTGAAGTCAGTTTGTGGACGGCTGCTTTTCGCGAAACACGGAATTTTAAATCGTCACCTCTCAGCACTCTCTGCCAGTCTTGATTTGAAAAGCGCGCCTTCAGCCTCTCGACCTCGTCTTCGTGGAGCTGCTTCCTGACCACATTTGCCCAATCGATGTGGGGGTAGAGTGTCTTGAGACGACGGACTTTTTCCTCACTCACGATGTTCGCCCAGTTCACCATGGGGTGTCGTGCACGCGCCCACAAAACCTTCTCCTCGCTAATCACGCTTCCCCAATCCACTTCAGGGTACATGGTTTTCATCCGCCCAATCTCAGCCTCCGAAACTTCCTCCCTTATCAAACTATCGAAGTTTACTCGCGGGAAGGCCCTCTTGAGACGGCGAATGCGTTCTTCACATACCATCTGGTCCCAGTTCAGACACGGATACTTGATCCTCAGGTGCCTGATCTTGCCATCGCACAAGATCTCCGACCAAGTCACGTCGGTGTAGTCCTCGCGAAGACGTCTAATCTCCTTCTCACAGACTTCATCCCGAATAACCCGGTCCCAGTCGATGCGTGGATAGCGCGCTCTCAGAAACTGCGGTGCCTCCTCACAGAGAATACTGTCCCATCGAATGAAGGGATACAACTCACGGAGTTTCTGTACCTCTGCCTCGCACAAGATCTCATCCCAGTTCACCTGGGGGTACTCTGTGCGCAAGCGCCTGATCTCCGCTGCGCACAGCCCATCTCGCACCACGGCACCGAAGTCCACTTCTGGATGCTGCTCCTGAAGTCGCCGAATTTCGCTCTGACTGCGTGTCTGGCGTCTACGCCAAGCTGCGCTGACGTTTGAGAGTTCAGAGTACGGAGCTCGGGCAATGCCAACCAGCATGAAACCAATCGACTCCAAGTAAAAGTAGACCACACCAACGAGAAGACCAACGAGACAGAGGCAGATTGTAGATAAACCGGCAGTGCTTGGCAGAGAAGTCCTATGTGGCATTGCGAGCGTCGGTTTTGACCCAGGCTTGCTGCTACTCGGTGAACCACCTAAATGACTGGAGAGGCCTATTGGGGCCGCGGGCACGGCGTCATCGCAGTAAACTGGAGCCTATGGAAAAGTTTAAATGGAATTATGAAGTGTGTTGGCAACCCTCAGGCTGTCCAGCACTTGTTAGAACTTCGAGCGAGTGTTTTCACCAAAGCTGTCACTGTGTGTGAAGCACTCACGTGACCTTGGCGTTTTCAAGCTTGTCAGGAGTGAAGTTTCCTCTATTTCAGGAGTAGATTACTGAAATTCCTGAATTCCAGGCTTAATCTGCTTTACAAAGACAAAATTAGCTCTTCAGACACGAACACGCTGACATAAAGTGTGTTCTCCCACCGAAGATCAACCGTTCAACGTAATGCTCACGCATTTGCGCAGGGCGCCAATAATATTTCTCCGTTCGCCATTCACTTACCGGATTGTTTGAGCAGCTGACACAATGAAGCTGCCCGGGCTCTGATTGGTAGGTGCCTCTGGGACAGACGTCACAGAGGTACGCGAACGGTCCATCCAAATCGGACTTTGTTGTAGCTGGGGCGTAGGTGCCCGCCTTGTTAATTATGTACGGGACGGCTCGTGTACCAGGCGGACAAGGAAGACACATTGGAGGCTTTACTACTGCCAGGCGATGTCCAGGGGGACAAACCGGCCAGAAGTTAGCAAAAATTACCTATTTTGAAAAATTCAATTTACGTAATTTAATAAAGTAGATCACTTCTTATAATCTGTTTTTTGCCACGTGACCACTTAATGGAACAGCTAGTGTTGACACCAAGCGCTAGGAAGTGAGTTTTAAGTTTCATTGTAATTTTCGGGATTCAACAAGACTATATTTATCAACAACTCCGTTTAGTCAGACACAAATTTCTGTGTGCAGCGGCGTAATTAACACGACTAGGTGGAGCTGTCCAGTAAACGGTTTTACCTCTGCTGATTCTGGTCTTCTTGTCTTTTCGGGCATATGAGTAGCATAATCGGGATTAGTGCAAAATAGGAGCCTAGGTGTGATTCAAAACCACGTTGTAAAGATCTCAGCACCTCCATGGCGTGTAGATGGACGTCGGCAATCAAAAACCAATAAATTCCAAGTGGAGATGTACTTGGTGGCCTGAAAACCAACCCGCTCCTGGATGAATTAAATTTCATTGGTTTGGGTGGCCATTAAATATGGCTGCGTACCAATTTCTGGCCAACTGTGATGATTTCTACATGACTGCACATCGAGGTCAGATTATTGATACTTTGGTCGTATCAGAAGTAAAGTTCGTGTGAGTTGCTTCAAGTATCGTGGATTTCAGTTCAGTTGAGCGTGCTTCGGAATTTTAAAGAATCAACACTTCATGCCAAAGTAAATGTCGTCACTTGAAAGTAAAAGCAAGGTACTTTCCTCCATTCCTTCTTCTCCCGATTGATAAAAAAGCTAATTCTTCTTTTACTCACTAAGCACGGTGGGTCATAGACGGAAATTACATGTCCTAATATTGAATATTTACAAATTCCAAAAATAAACAAACTTTCCCTCCAGAAAGCATCTGGATGGATTTCAGTTGCCTTTTAGCAGGAAGATAGATGAACCAAGAAATTGGGCTTTTACGCGTGTGTCGGTGTGATTAGAAAAGGATACGATTCTCGGAAGCTCGAAAACTCGCTCACCGTCACATTTTTCGCTCTCAGTCTAAGCCTCAGGCGTTCAATCAAGCCCTCGAGGACTTGTTCCAGCGGCCGACTTTCCGAAGCTTGCCAGGTCAACTTGAGCGATCGAACGGCCTTGAACCAGCGGTCTCCATGGGCGACAGCTCTCAAACCCTGAAGCGGTGTCACTCGGCTGTTGATTGGTGGCCTTATTGGCGTGACCCTGCCCGCTTCTTCGGCCCACTTTGGGGAAGGCGCGTGAGCTCCTCTGCGATCCACATTCACGCTTATGAAGCAGTCGAGGCATGAGCTTGCAGTGGCGACCTAAACAAGTCGTTGGAAGATCAGCAAAATGAGCTCATTATTAAAATTGACGACAAGTTCGAAGGTGATTAGAGTCAGGCTTTTTAAGCACTCGAGGCCCTTCTAGATGATAAGATACGCATGATCGTCGAACATTGGTGCCACGTTTTTTTGATTGGCGTTAAAATAGCAGTTAACATCATTGGTGCAATTTAATTGACTCCGCCGTATTTCATGCGACCAGACGCGCATGCGATTGGTTAATTAGGGGTGTGGCAAACTCCGGCTTTCTTTCCACTTAACAACCTCTCTGGTTGCCACATAGATCCATTCCTAATCATCAAAGTTATTCTAACAAAACAACCAAAAATTCGACACCCACCCAGTTTGGGCGACCAATCAGAAAGCTTAGCCAACCACAATGACCGGTTTAAGCAAAGTAATCATCCACACAGCAGAGAGATGTTTAGCATAGTGGGAGCACCATGGCATCCCAAAAACGGGTTCTTAATTCTTGATTAAATCAGTGAATATCTTTCGAATCACGTTTGGTGATAGAATGAGTCTTGAGGTTTGCTGATCATCGCGGACGTGCTCCTTAAAGATAGATACAATAGGTGAATAGAACTGATTATTCACTGGTTCGGCATAAACGAAAACCAGACATTCACTGTACTACAAACAGAGCCTGAGTTCTGGATATAAGCTGCTAATTTAATTTTCTAGTCACGCACTCGTCGATTTGTCTCGGAAAAGCGATAAAATAAAACCTCTGCAAGCTAAAGTTAATTGTACTGCGGCGGGATTTTGAAACAGAGCGTTGAAATAGCGTGTCCTTACCCTAGTTATTAAATCCAAACCAGCATTAAATGCGGTGGACAAGGTCATTTCCTTGCCTCTCAGCTGTTGCTCCCCCGCCAAGACGAATCCAATCGTCACAACCGTTGCAGCATCACGGAACTGCATCGTCAATCGAGATGGAATGACCTTGGCTTCATCTGGACGTGGCATCGTGACTGCAACGTCGACGTCGTAGCTGAGTTTTCCATCGGTGAGATGTCTATGCGGTCACAGAGGTCATTCACCGTCTAGCCGTTTGCATTTGTCTCAGCATATCTACGTCCCGTTTAGTCATCACTGATTCATTATGAGTCATCTGCCACTTGAGCACTGCGAAAACCGCTAATCTAATCTACACGATTTCAAATTGTATTTATGAACTCCTTTTTGCGACCGGGCAATGAATTTCAAACAAGGCCATTCCAATGAGGACGATTTGTCAGAATATACTTTTAGTAAATCAATAAAGTAATTCATTATTGAGTGTGAAAACTTTTCTCTTACACGATATTAAGGTTTATTAATGACTCTTGGCAGGTGATAGGTGGAAATGTTTGTTGCCATCGACTACTAAAAGGCTAATTATATAGACTTCATTTTGCCTGTAGATTACCGATAATTCTTGACGTTTTAACATCGCCATTTTTCATCAATTCAGAAAAGATCGATTCGTCGAGGTCAGAAGCTATCATAAAATCGATATCATAGCAATAATTTCCGAGTATTTAGAAAAACTGCTGATATTCAGAAGTTTTTTGATGATAGAATTTAACGCGATTTCATGACCTCAAACATGAGATTTTTGATTGGTCCACAAAAGATCTAATCACTTATGGTGCATTGACCATCACAAAAAGTTTATAAAATGAACACTAACAGTGACTTTCGAGTCAGTTGGACCAGTAGAAGCAATTTAAACTTCACACTGCCTGAGACAATTGTCTTCTCAATGAGTCGAAGTTCATAGAAGAATGAAATTCCCAGTTGATTTGCGAGTAGAGCCACAACCTTGACGACCATCGCACGAGCACTGCGACGAGTCAGGTGAGCAACGGCGTTGGTGACGGTGATGGTGAAATTCGTGTTATGCCGTTTGCAGAGTTTTGGGTGGGCTGCGGTCAGGTATTCTTGGCCATACGTGATGACAGGTGCCCCGCAGTCTTCCGATTGACTGCGACCGTGCTGCATGCGTGGTTCCGCCAAGTTACTTTTCGTGATTCGCTCCAACACGGAGTCTGGTGAGAGAGCTTGTTCTAGGTAGACTGACTTAAATAACTGAAAATAAGAGGGAGGGAGAGAAGTCAATGTTTACCATTTTCCGAATTAATTTATAAATCAGAATCTCGATATCAACGAGACGTATTCGGACCAACCGCGTCTCAGCTCATTAAAATTCAACCACACATCCCCTCATTTATTTGATAATCGATAAATCTGTGAGCTGGTTTCGGTTGTAAGTTTGAGAGCAAAGGCAACAGGTAGTAACCGGTCGTCCTTAGATAAGAGGGTAAATGGATTAAAAATATATAAACACAGAAAGTCGGTTGAGGTAGAATAAGGCAAATTCGACTTTCAGGAACTCTCACACACAGTCGCATTTGCGGAAGGTCAATTACTAGATCGATAGTTGTGAATCGAGTCAAGATGCTCCTGGCGCATCTTCGGCCAAACTTTTATCATAAACGCAGTTAGACCCCAGGTCTTTGTGTGATTTGAACGTGGAAGCCCTTTACTTTGACTCACCTCAGCAGACTCGGGTCGAACCTGCACTCCATCGACGTACTTGGCTGCCCCCGGCTTCAGGGGTTCGTCGAAAGGCAGCCGAATGCCCCCAGACAGTTCCGCGTACCCCAAGTACGGTTCGAGTATCACCCAGTCAAATATTCTCCCACCCGTTCGTGCCTGCACACAGAGGTTGTCCTGCGTGAAGGTGAACTGTCCCAAGCGGATTCGCCTGGATCCGACGAACACTTCTTTGCCTCGTCGCGCTTCCAGAGTAGCCTGATTGCTCACAAACTCAAAGATAGCGCCCACACTCACCCTCTCAAACCTCAGACGAACAAACGGTTCGAGTGGGCCTGTGGGGATGAAGCCTGTGCGGAATTTTCTTACAATTGACCTTCTCCAATTGTGGCCACTTCCTTCTTCCGAAATCTGGATACATTCCCAGGGTTGAAGGGCACCAGTGCACTTGGTTTCGCTCAAAGTGAATGCCAAGCTTGCGTTGTCATTGTCGAGGGCAATATTCCTTTCAGAAATCGCCTCCTGTGCGGCCTCACAACTCCTTGTTGAGAGAGCAAAAAAGTCTACCCGGGCGACGGCTTTGGCGGGTTGATGGAGAAGAATGAGGTATGTGGCCCGGCGAATCCATGCATACTTGCCACTGGCTTCCCCAGTGTCCTCAGCGCAGGTTATGAATCCAATGGTACCCGGCTGGGCAACCACCTCCAAAGCCTCAACACCGAAGACCTCGTGTTCGTAGAATCGTTGTCCAAAGCACTCGTTCTTTGGAAGTGCAATAAGTCCATCGGCCAGGGCATCGGGATTGTCCGGTGAGGTCTTACTCAAGAACCAAATGATCTTGGAGTGTCGTCTGGTGTGAGCACACGATAGGGTGACCTTCTCACCTCTGAATGCCTCTCTTATATTAACATACGGTAGGGGTTCCCTGGGTTTTGAGGGATCGAAGAAACTGACTTGTGCCACCCAATCAAATTCCGACCTGTTCGGCAGAGTGAATGAGGCGCAGCTTTTGAAAGCGCTGGTGTCTCGCAACTCACTTACGTGGATTGAACAGACGTAGGATACACAAATCATCAAAAAGCAATACCTCGCCAACATGCCTCCAGACAAGTTTTTAAAATTCCCACCGGCTTATCGATTAGTTTTACGATGATGTTAAGATCGAATAATGTACTGTGTGTTGTTTAAATGAGTAAAAAGCTGCATGTGTGCGTGTTTTAATCAAGATTAATGAGTGGAATGAATCCGACTCTCTAAATTTTCCCCTCAATAACGAACGAAAAACCTTCCACATCATAAAGCAGAGGAATTTAGCAGTATGTTCAAAGAGAGAAGGAAGTTAGATAGAACTTGCTTTCCCCCGAATTTAATTTATTAGTTTCTCTAAGTTTTCAAAGCCATGAAATCGAAAACGTAAGGTTATTCATGTCGCTACCTCTTCGAGAAGAGCCCTAATTTAATCAAAATATATTTTTGTTTAAATTTCGGTACCCTTGTTGTGTTCGGCTAGAATTTACCCGACATGGATTCAATTAGAAAAATGTCTCATTTTTGAGTTTGGAAACGGCTCTCAAAAGTCATCTCGACACGTCAGCGCGACACATAAAATGCCGTCAATGTAAAGTAAATTTTTTATCGATTTAATGCTCTGCGGGGTCATCGACTAGGCGATTGAACCAATAGGTACGCGTTGTCAGCTGGTATAACTCAGGAAGACACTTGCACCTCACCTGCTTGTTACATGAGATGCTGAGGTGTCACTTCATTGAATGTGAACATGCAACCAATCTGTTGCCACAGCAACCAGTACTCCCATTGTATAATCTACCGTATTTAGGGGCGTGCATGGGCAATGCGACCTACTTTCACAAAGTTGAATGAGTCGGCGCCAGGCCAATAGTCTAGCGAGTGAAATCGAATCCCAGTTTGTCAGGGCTCCTCCTGAAATAAGGGTAAGTTCCAAGTACACTTTTGGCAAATTACTGCAATAAACGAAAGGACATCATTATTTTTAACGCAGAGTAGGGCTGTTGTTAAAAAAATTTGGAGCCTTACAGTCACATTAATCTGTCAGAACAGGGTACTAAAGGGAAGATTACGACTTTGATCGATTTTTTGGTCATACTATTTCCAAATCGATAACCTAAGTGATCGATTTTTGTTAATCGATCACATCTACTACGATGGCTTAATGTTGACTTATTATTTTGGGATTATTAATGATTGCTTACAAATGAAATGCTTTCTGATGACATGGACTGTGGAGTTGATAATTTTCGCTGTCCCTAAGCATCCAAATTTCACGAACAACCGTGAACACGTCCCATGTTCAAAAACTGTGCGACAATTGTCAACTTGGAACTCAAGGAGGTACCCCAATCAGTGACAGACAATGCGTACAGGTCACTTGCAAAAATTTAGTCCAGGAATGTATTTTCTAGCTGGATTTCCTTCGCAAGAGTAATGAGGCCTTTGAAACGGAGTCGAACGAATTTGTTCAAACGCTGATGACTTTCCAAAAGGAATTAGGCCAGATCACTTCGACATTCGAAAATAACAAAAGCAAATGTAAGTTGATTTTGATTTGAACGACAACCTCACCAATTCTTTGCAAGTTTTAAATGGAGAGTTTTCGCTAAAGGATCTGTAATGCCTCATTGAACTTCTGGCTGAGCTGATTGGTTAACCAAGTAACCAATCAGGTTCACGTAAACTCAATTGATTAACAAACCACCCCTTGAAGTGTGACTTTTTGACAAAATTTCCACAGTTCGTTCTAATAAGTAGCTAAAAGACCAGGAGATAATTACTTTTGCTTGATGGACAAGTGGAAAATCAATCATGCCTGTTTAGAACTGATAATAGATAAGGCAGCTTTTAATGTGTGTACCCTTTCTCAGCTCAAGACACAGATGAGCGAGCGGGAGAAAATTCATCTGATGGCAAAGGCCTCACAAAGAGTTTGGTGGCCAAATATCCGGCCACGAAGGTCGTCGTGAACCCGGAAATCAGCGAGAAGGTTCGCGTGGCAGAGGCGTCTGCAATTTCAAAGTACCTGGAGTGAGTTATCCCACTCAATATGGCTGTTCAATGAACCAATTATAATCGACTTTCTAATTGATCATGCAAACTATTGTGACCTGAATAGACCCTCAGCGGTTACTACCAGACTTTAACAAAAGATCGATAGAATTGTGACTTATAACAAGTTTAGAAGAACTCATTGGCACTCCATCTCTTCCATAACAGGGACATTGAATTTCAAAAGAAGATGACAGACGTGAACACAACGCTCAAGTCTTACGCAAGACCGGCCACTTCCACGTAAGTGGTTATTAACTGACTGGTACTTATCTCTGTGATCAAATCATCAACTCAAGGTAACGAAGGACTTGATTTTGATGTGGATTTGAACTCTGATGGATATTTTAGATCACTGAATGGGTCTGCTTTCCGGCGTCCACCACTGAGTGCGAAATCCGCAAATCGGCCTGCAACTGCGAACTACACGAATGACGGTGAAAGCTCGGATGATGAAGAAATCGCCGAAGAACTGCGAGAAATGAAGGTGAGTGAGTCGGCTTGGGATGGCAGCCTGGTAGCTTGGCTGACGAACCACTTCAGGAGGAAATAAGGTTAGAATACACAAGGATAATAGCTGGAAGCCTTCTCGTGCACTAAAATTGGCAAGCAGCTGAGTTTTACAGGATTAGTTTCGAGGGTGTTTTGATGTACCACGTCGCGGTCACCAGTTTTTGAGGCCCCCTGCATGTGGTCTTGAACCACGTTGAGGTCGTTGTGTTTACCTAAGCCCGAATACGATGCTCAGATAGCCGAGGTGACAAGTAGAAGACCGGAGATCACAGAAACATGACCGTTCACTCGACAGCTCAACAAAGATGTGTTGTGTGAGTGCTTGCGGTCGCTGTAGTGCATGCCTAATGTCTGTCAGACTGCAGCAATCGGATTAGAGGAAGTGAATCAATAGGCTTCACTACAAGGTCAACAAAAATCAATACTTCTTATGCAATATGCAGGGCATACCTGAAGGATACGATTCGCTACCCGAAGGCGAAGAGAAGATAGGAGAGGGTTAGGCACAACAGTTTACTAGATAACTAAACCAAGTTACGTGCGCTCGCAGTTAGTGCATGCCTAATGTACTAGTTGACCAATAGTGAGGGTGAACTAGGTGACGTGCAAATAACGGACTTGTCAGAATAGTTCAAGAGTTAGCGGAGGAGGTGTCTGCATCGAAGCGTGTGCCTCGCAGACTGCAGCAACCAGATCAGCGGACGTGAATCACTACGATTCACTACGAAAGTGTGCTCGTTAATGCGCAGAGACACAAACATTTGCTTGACACCTCAACCCAGTTGTGCTAGTCGCACCACCGCCCATGTAACACTCATGTCTGACTAAATCGGGAGTGTTTGTGAACCTCAAAATCCGGTGGCTTAACGGGTAGGGTGGGGGAGGTACTCGCACAGGTGCTTATAAGCAGACGGTTTCGCATGACCGGTAGTGACACCGTGAAAAGGTCAATTTGGCAGAGAATGCAACGACCGTGAATCAGCACAAGTCACTGCACCACGCGCCTACCCAAGCAGGCCTCGTGTGAGATGCTTTTGCAAGTCGTGGTTGCTGGTACTCGTACAGGAGAGGGTGGGTGCAAAGTCGTCCAGATGGCCTTATTCATCACTTTGTCCTGCGTCGCCTGTGGCCATGGTGCTTCGTGTCCAATCACAGCGCTTCAACCGTCATTGCGCGGCATTGCGATTTCTCGGCCTGTTTTTGCAAGCACCAGCGAGACCTTTTCCACCAATCTAATCGACGATTGCACGACCCGAGGTGATCGGGTCACTGTCGCAGAAGTTTCCTTCCGGCTCTTGGGGGTTCGAACTTGATTCGCCCTTTACAAGATTCTCCACACCTCAATTGACTACGGACCCTACACTCGCACTCGAATGCGTGGAAGGTACTAAGCGCGATGATCAAAGTGCTCACTCGGCCAGCCATCAAAATCAATAGGGGGAGACCAAACTCGGAAGGGCTGGAGGGGATTATAGTGGCTGATTGTGAAAGTTCGGGTCAGATTTTAGCAGATGGTAGAATCATGCACATTTACCATGAATTAACGCAAATCCGAAACAGCGTTTATTTCAATTAAGCTGTGTTCCGGAACAATAATTAAGTTGACAAATGTAGGATTACATTTTAGCCGTGCTATGTAATGTGGGTTCGAGCATGGAGATTATGTTTGAAATGCACCCAAATTGTTGTTGATACATATCTGGATTGGGCTCCAGCTTGAGACACAGTTAAAAGTGGTTTAGTCGAATTCAAGACTTCTATGTGCTGACCTTCCACGGATTGCCACTGTGGGGATTGTTGGTTGCCCAAACATGGACAATCCGACTGCATTTCACCATTCATGCCTAGTCGACTATTAACCGAAAATCCTTAAATGGGCTGTGCAATTTTCGATAGCAACACATCAAGCAGAATCGCGTTTCTAAGACCATTCATCTCCTCACCGGTAGGCAAAACGAACCCTTTTTTATTCGACTCATAACTGGTAATTTGACATTATTACCGTGCTTCAGTAAAGTTTGAAGACGAAGAGGAATAATCTGGAAGCATGTAGGCAAAAGAGCGGAATCCCTGGCAATGGCTGCTGAATTGCTGCATCCAGTGAAAGAGTTGCTACGTGGCCGGTGGTCACGAGATTCCTTTACGTGAACAAACAACAACTGTGTGGAAATTCGGTGAGCAATTCACCAAACGCAATGTTACGATCCCACGGGGAACGCGCAAATATGTTCAATCGAAAAAACAGCACCATTCAGCGTGACAAGGCTAGACCACACACCGCTCAGTAGACAGTGAGATAACCTGGGGAGGTTTGGTGGGTAATCCTCCAGTGCCACCCTATTCCCACGACCTTGCACCTTCGGATTCCCACATGTTTTGTTTCCTGCAAAATGCCTTGATTATCACTTGTTTTTGTGTCATGGAAGCGTCCGAAATCTGTTTTACGTCGTTCTTTGAAAACAAAACGCGCTTTTTCTACAATAAACTAACTCAAAAACCCGCAGAATGTTGAAACACAGTAATAGGAAATGTAGCGAACAAATTTTGATGTCAAATACCACTTTTCATTAAGATATCCCGTAAACAAATTGATCTCCAGTCATACTATTACATTTCCGATCACCGAATGTAGACAGGAGTTGTAAAAATGTGG